CTCTTCCTCAAGAGCATTAGAGAGATCTGATATCTCATCTGCATAGTCACGACTATGACCTTCCATCTTAGAGATGGTTTCTTCGTGAGCCTCGATCATGTCATTGGCCTCACCAAGTTGTTCCAAGAGAGCAACAAAATGCTTCTTGCACTTGCCCTTGAGCTTACTCATAAAAGACTCAAACTCATTCACTTCTTCATTAGACCCATCATGTTCATCAATGCAATCCTCCATGGAGGGATTAGTAATGATGGTGGTTTTAATGTTGGGGGTTACCTTGTTTGAAGCTTTAGCCATGAGGCATTTGGCGGTGATGTTTTCGTTGGGTGAGTCAAAGAGAGACACCCGGGGAGTTTTAGCAATAGCAACGGATGCCATGGCCATTGCTTCTTCATTTTCATCATCATCGTCATCCTCTTGGTATTCTTCTTGAACCACCAACCCACGAGTGGGAGTCTTTTTGGCGAAGTTGTTCTTGTTGGGGAAGGACTTGGCTTTGTCTTTTCGGATGAACTTGCCACCATTGTCTTCCCGCTTCTCGTAAGGACAATCCGCAACGAAATGGCTCACATTGCCACAGTTGAAGCAAGTTCTAACTCGTTGCTTGCCCTTGACGCCACTTGAGTTGTTCTTGTTGAAGTTGGATCTTGAATTCTTCTTGCTCCAAAATTGTCTTGAAGCAAGGGCCATGTGCTCATGGTAATCAAATTTGGTGTCTTCGGGGTTGCTTTCCTCATCTTCCACTTCTTCCTCTTCTTCCACAATAACCTTGGCCTTCAAAGCAAGGTTGGGCTTCTTTGCCCTTTGAGAACGGAGCACCGCATTGTCGGCGGTCTTGTACAAGATGCTCATTGCAACGAACTCATCCAACACTTCACTTGAGGTCATGGAGTGGAAGTCCGATCTTTGACGAATGACGGAGGACATGGCCTTGTTGTAGGGCATCATGGCCTTGAGGAACTTTCTCTTGATCCAATTGTCATCCGTGTCCTTGCTTCCATGATCTCGGAGAGCGACCACGAGTTTGGTCACTCTTCGAAAGAGCTCACGAGGTTCTTCATCTTCTTTCATTGCAAACTCATCGGCTTCATCTTGCACCACTTCATAGTTGGAGCGTTGAATGCTAGCACTTCCTCGATAGAGACGCTCGACACATTTCCATGCTTCTTTAGCCATGACATGAGGTCGAAGATGAGGAAGATCTTCAGGAAGGATAGCATCTTGGATGATGAAGAGAGCACTCTCATTGAATTGATTGTCCACTTCTTCTCGAGGGGTGAAGTTGCTTGGGTCATGAGGATAGAAACCTTCTTCAATGATTCTCCAAAGGTTAGTATTCACATGTTTTAAATGACGCTTGAAGCGATAAACCCAAGAATCAAAATCTTCATTTTTCACATATTTAGGAGGAGGACCGGCATGATTTAAATGAGTGGAGGGAATCGGTCCTCTATAGATAGGAGGTTCCACATGGGCAAAGATGCCGGTGCCATTTCTACCACTAGTAGATGGACTCTTTTCATTGTTAGCTTCCCCCTTATCGGAGTTAGCATCCGTCACCTTGTTAGTGGGATCACCCACTTTCATTGGCGAGGTAGATAGTTTAAGTCCCTCTAGAAATTCAGTAAACATGCTTTTAACCTCGGCCGTCATGGAGGTTTTCAATGTGTCTAAAGCCACATTGAATTCCTCACGTGAGACCGAGGTTCCCCCTTCGGCCGAAGACGAGATGGGATTCACACCGGAGTGTTCCTCCGCACCGTCATTGGTGTCAACCATACTCTTCGGACGGCAAAGTCCTTAATAAAGAGACGAGGCTCTGATACCAATTGAAAGGATCGATATGGTTGACTAGAGGGGGGGGGGGTGAATAGGCAACTAATAATTTTTAAGCTTTTCTTTACCAAATTAAACTTTGCAACAAAATAGGTTGTCTAGATGTGCAACTAAGTGAGCAACCTATATGATGCAATAACAACTAGCACATAAGCAAGCAATGGATGTAACACAAGTGGGCTTGCAAAAGTAAAGGCACGAATTAACCAAGAGTGGAGCCGGTGGAGATGAGGATGTGTTACCGAAGTTCCTTCCTTTTAAGGGGAAGTACGTCTCCGTTAGAGCGGTGTGGAGGCACAATGCTCCCCAAGAAGCCACTAGGGCCACCGTATTCTCCTCACGCCCTCACACAATGCGAGATGCCGTGATTCCACTATTGGTGCCCTTGAAGGCAGCAACCGGACCTTTACAAACAAGGTTGGGGCAATCTCCACAACAATTGGAGGCTCCCAACGAAACAATGAAGCTTCACCACAATGGAATATGGCCTCGAGGTGACCTCAACCGTCTAGGGTGCCCAAGCACCCAAGAGTAATAAAATCCACACTAGAAAGTATGGGGGAACCAAATATCCTTTGATGGAAGTGTAGATCTAGGTCTCCTCCTTCAAACCCTAGCAAATCAACAAGTTTGAGTGGCTAGAGTGAGAGATCGGGCAAGAGAGCTTGAGAGCATTAATGGTGGAGTGAGAGAGGTAAAAGGTGGGCATGGTAGGTGGAAGAACCACCTTATATAGCAGCCCACTTAAATCCAACCATTACTGCATTTTCAGTACTGCAGCGGTACAATCGCTCCTTGTCCCGGTACAACCGGGACTCACGATGTAGCTGCAGAACCCTACCAGGCGGTACAACCGGACCATCGGGCGGTAGTACCGGTCATTAGCAAATAACCGGACCAACCGCCCAGCCACCGCAAAACTACCGCACCGAAACAGAACGGAGTTACCCTTGAGGGCGGTAGTTGGGCGGTGCAGGGCCGGTGCAACCGCCTGGCCTTGAGCGCTTGAGCGGCTAAGGTATGAGCGGAAGAACCGCTCGAACCTCCGGTTGTACCGGTTGATAAGGAACAACCGGACCTACCAGGCCACCACCGCCCAGCCACCGCATCAAAACAGAAGCCTGACCGGTACATGGGCGGTGCATGGACGGAACAACCGCTGCTGGTCTTTGCAGAGTCAGGTGGCGGTACTACCGCCCGGAGGCAGCGATACCACCGCTCGACAAAGGCAGAGAAGCGTCAAGAGCCAGCGGTACAACCGCTCGGACGAGCGATACAACCGCTGGAAAAACACAGCAAAGATTAGATTAAAAAAGGGGGCACTCTCTCGACAAAAGAGGGGTGATGGAGGTGTGCGTGAATGGAATCCCCTATTCTTCCCAAAGAGGATTCCCTCTTGATAGTATGGGATCCCTATGACCAAAGAGAAAAAAAGCGTAGAGGATTCCGTCTTCAAACGATTCCTTCGAGAGAGAACCACTAACCGATGAAAGCCTAATCATTGAGAACCCGAAACATTTAGCACAGGATTAGACCAACAAAGGGTTTTCATCATCATCCAAAACATAAGGTAGGGAAATGCCCTTTCACAAATGCTACTCTGTGACTGGGTAGTTACAAAGGTAGGTTTCAGGCTTGTCCAGGCCCATGCCGCGAGACATGGTTGACCAAGATGGAATTTGCCCCTCCGATCAGGATAGATATACTCTGGGCCCCTTGTGTGATCCGACCAAGATAAGCATGGCCATGCAACAAGGATTATGAGATAATCTGGTTTGTGGTCGGCATCACTGGAACGAGAAAGAGGTCGAGCTAGCACAAAGATGACAGACTCGCCTTGAACCCGACAACATATATCGTGTGGAAAAGGGAATAGAAGTGTGACACGTTGTACAGGTTCACCTAACTAGCTTCATCGGACACTTGGAGTCGGCACACTTTACTAGAGGCCGCTACCGACTAGACGAGCCGGATGTGATCTGACTCGCGACCAAGTGAACGAGAACCTAAGGGGTCGCGTGCTTAAGGGAAGGAACCTATGATGCCTGATCCGACTCCACGAGTCAGATGTAATCCTACTCGGACTCCGATCCAAGCTGAACAGACTTTGGGCTTTAGGATCCGTGCGAGGCCCAAGTGTTGAGCCTGTGACGGATTCTTATATATAGTGGGGGTGCGGCACACTCATTTGGTTGATCGCTTTGGTGCCATCACTAGGGCTTTGCATGTGTTGCAACTAGCTACCTCCACTCGTCGCTCGTTGTGTGATCGAACCGAGCAGTCCGCCACACGATGTTCCTCCTGCATGCGTAGATACCATTAGTGGCGGTGCACCTGCGCCACTCCGGCGAACCTGTTCGTGGGATCCAATCGGCTATGTGGGAGATCGACGAGGAGGAGACAACTCCGGAGACGCGCTGCCCCAACTCTACTTCCGCTGCAGACACTTCGCATCTAGTGGTAATGATCTGTGATCCATCTCTTGTAGCATGTTCTTGGTTGTTCTGCGTGTAGAAATTTTTTAATTTGTAGTCGACACACCCTACCGTGGATCTCAACACTCCGACACCCCCGGCCCACCCAATCCCCCTCCCGGTCTCATTTCCTTCCACTCCACCCCTTCTCCCCTTGCTTTGCATCTGCACCCTCCACCTCCGCCGTCGCTGTTGTTCGTCTCCGGTCGCCACAGAGGCATTGTCGGGCATCCGCAACCAGCACCGACGCGCTCGCTCGCTGTTCAGACAGAGCTTTCAGCCCTGGAGCTATTTGTACCCACGCACACTCTGCCCCTGTTGATGACCTCCATGGCGGACACCACGCCCGGTAGGTGTTCGGTCAAATGTCATTGAGCTTATTTTCAAATGCTATGTCGTTTTTAGAGTACGAAGGATGGTGAGCTACTTGACCATGGAGGATGAGTTGTTATGCGATGCGTGGTTGACCGTATCCGTGGATTTCATAGGCAAGACCAAAGGGCCACCCTTCTTGGAGCAAGTGCATGAAAGTTTCAGGCAAGAAAGCACATTGCGCCCTACGACGTGTACATCATGCTACCACGCAACGTGAGCTCGTTGTCGTATCCCTGGTACGCTATCCAGATCAGCGTCATCAAGTACTACAACTTGATCAGGCAGCTCGAGGCAAGATGACCATTGCACGCGGGCATGGAAGAGATCGTAAGTTTTACTTCGTCTTGCTAAACTTGTTGATTGATTGATTCATTCAATGTTGATTTACACATTATATGTAGCCCGCACACGCTGCCGTGTTGTACCACAGGTTAGCGGGACGTCCATTTACGTGCACACTGCTAGATGAAGCTGAAGGGAAGTATGTGTAGGAGGACATGATCCGTTCCTGAAAAATTTGTTGGACATCCACGAATTTGAGACCTTGTTGTACTAGACTTAATTTGGATGCTATGTGTGGATGATTTATGCTATTTTATATCCGAACTTCGATGAATATCAGCCGATTTGGATGAATTTCGTCCGGTTAGTTAAAATACGGTTTGAAATGTATGCTGCTAGCGTTGGATGACTGCCTCCCGCATTCGTGTCCGCAGACTGATCCGCGGAAGATTTTTTGTGAGTTTCCGTTGAAGATGCCCTAAGGCCAATTCTTTTCGCCATGATTCCGGAGAATCAGATTCTGGAAACTTTCGACAGAATCACCTGCCACCAGAATCAACCGTCAGTTCTCTTCTGAGATTCTAGATTGTTGTATGAGTTGTGTGCTGAAATGTGGTTAGATCGGAACTGAGTACTGAAATGTTAACGGTTGGTTATTTCGGACAGTTTCACGTCTAATGTAAACAACTTGCAACTAACGCTTGAAGCCGCAGTCTTCTCTTCTTCACACTTTCCTCACCGCTGCCGCCCCGCTGCTCCCGCAGTCATGCGCATCTTCCTTCTCTCAGGGCAGAGCAACATGGCCGGCCGCGGCGGCGTGCACCACCGACGGTGGGACGGGGTCGTGCCGGCAGAGTGCGCGCCGGACCCCTCCATCCTCCGCCTCTCCGCCGCGCTCGCATGGGAAGAGGCCCGCGAGCCGCTGCACGCCGACATCGACACGACCAAGACCTGCGGCGTCGGCCCCGGGATGGCCTTCGCCCGCGCCATTCTCCCGCGGCTGCAGCCCCCAGGCACCGCCGGGGTCGGGCTCGTACCGTGCGCCGTCGGCGGCACGGCCATCCGGGAGTGGGCCCGCGGGGAGCACCTGTACGAGCAGATGGTGCGGCGCGCGCGCGCCGCGACCGAGTGCGGCGAGATCGAGGCCGTGTTGTGGTACCAGGGGGAGAGCGATGCAGAGTCCGATGCCGAAACGGCGGCGTACCAGGGGAACGTGGAGAGGCTGATAGCAAATATCAGGGCAGATCTTGGGATGCCGCATCTACCATTCATTCAGGTGATGGCCGCGCTCGGTAAATAGTGTCATTTGTCTTCATTTTTGGCATGGCTGTTGTGAACTGAAGTTTATAGAAACTGAACTGGTCATCAATCTGGGCATTCATACAGGCTAGCAATTTTGGACAAATGAATAGTAATTTTATGAAAAATAATAATGCACGTGAAGATTTTTTTAAAAAAAAAGAAGGATGGCCCCGGCCTCTAAGAGATGCATGCAACCATTTTATTAATTATTCACAAAGATCTTACAAAGTACTCCCTCCGTCCGGAAATATTTGTCACCAAAATGGATAAAAGAGGATGTATCTAGACTATTTTAGTTCTAGACACATCCTTTTTTATCCATTTTGATGACAAATATTTACGGACGGAGGGAGTAATGCATCAGGAAGTCTGAAGCAACCATCTTGGCAACATCTGTCGCTACTCCTATCCACTTGATGAAGGGGTCCCGATTGTCTGAGTCAAATACCAAACATACCTCACACCAAAGCCTAACATCTAAAGCCGGAGGCCCCAACCAAGCCACATTGCCGGGTCTAGGGCACACACCCGTCCAGTGCACTCTCAGTCTCAGACGCGCCGCTGTCTTCCACCGGTCCATCTTCAGAGCAGGTACTAACACATCGACCTTGTCAGGCCTGTCGTCAACGCCACCACGGTGCCAGACAACGCCACCACCCTACTCGCGCCCATTATCACACATCCGTCGCCGAGACCCTACCACGCCATGCTGCCGAGACTCCACACCGTCGACGCGTGACATGTAACGCTGCTCCATCGCTAAAACCGTCCACTGGTCCCTCGAGCCAATGTACACCTCCAAGAATGATGCCCCCAAGGAGGGAGCAACACAAGAGCACCCCATCATCCGATCAACTGATCAAGGATTTCACCGGGAGGTAGCAGGAGGAGTTGGGAGCTTCACCTCGATGATGCCTTCATGAAGGAAACGACGCTAAGGGTCTGTCCCAAGAAAATCCAACTGAGAACTTGTGCATCGTCCAGACCGCCTTCAAAGCCCTAGATCTAGTCGTCCAGATTCGACGACTATCCACAACAGCACTGCCACCGTGGGAGCCCTGGCACACCGGCCACTACTTGTGTGTGCCACCACTGGAGTCTGGGAGGAGGGCCGCCACCCCACCTCGCCAAACCGCGAGAACCACCGAGAGGGATCCGGCACGCTCGTCACCGTCTCTGATCCGAACCAATCCGAAGCCAAAGCCACCAGATCACCGGCGCAGATCCGCCTTGGACAGGGATAGCACCACGCCATGCCGCCGCAGGAAGCCCTAGCTTCACCTGCTGCCATCGTCGAGGGCCGCCGCCCCGGGATACAGGCCGAACGTCGTCGCCGCCGCCGAACCGCCGAGCTGCCGGCGACCGCAGCCATGGCCGTCGTGACCACGCGGACGCGCCGAGCAGCCAGCACCACAAGCTCTTCCACGTCGCCTTGCAGCTCCGCCACCTCTGCCCACCACCACGTCGCTTTGCGCCGCCGCGCAACCGCACCCAGATCCGGGAGAAGCGCCCCGGCGCCATTATGTGACCCGCCTCACTCGATCTCGGCCCGGGAAGGAAGAGGACCTCTG